ATATGTACCACTGAATTAATGAGAACAATTACAGGCGTAGAGTACATTATGGAACATGTTAAAAACACAATTTTAATATAAGCCTCAAATATTGAATCGCTTTAGTAACTGTAAATGAATGTGAGAACACAAGCAGATTTTTTTTAAGAGGTTTGATTTTTTAAAATTGTTTCAGCTGCTGTAAAACTGTTTTTAGTGACAATTTTTTGACAATTTATATTTACTACTTTTGAAAATGATAAGATTTACATATGAAAACTACATCAATTACAACCCCAACCCATTCTTTCGCTTACACAAGCAGTCAATGCTCAATCTAAATATGTATAAAATAAGTAGTTATAAAGGTTTTGTTTTGTAGAATCATTGCTTTACCTGTTTTTTTCTGATTATCAAAAAATTCGAAATATTGTGGTCAATAAGAAACGCTATAATTTCAACATATACTACCTTTCGTTTCTAATTAAATAAAATTGATGGTTAACACGTCTTTTTAATATAAAAAGACTACGCAACATGCTCTTAAATTTGATTGAACAATTTATTGAAGTTGAACTATTTTTGAAGCAAATTGTTACAAATTTAAATTGATTTATTGATTAAATGAGAGAATATTCAATGCAGGCGATCATAGTCAAAAGCTGGTGAACCTCCAAAACCATTTGCAAGCCTAGATTGATGGCAATTAAAGTTATGCTAAGTGTTTGGTAGAATGTGAATAGAATTACTTATTCCAGGTTGCTCCAGCCTACTGCAGTGGTTAATTCAGTCATTTACTTTTCACAACTCGATTGCATGAATGCAAAAATCAAAGAAAAGCAGTCAGAATTTGTTAACAGAAAAGAAGTTCTATCAAAAGAATGCGAGCTTAATGGGCCCTAAGTTGAGGGTACTTGGCTTAGAAGCGTCGATGCATTCACAATATAGGGTAGACATTGTCTGAGTACTGTTTCGGGTTACCATTTATTTCGGTCTACGCAAAACACTTCAAATGGTAAAAAACTTGCTGACGCTGAAAATCATTTAGCCAAGAACTGTTTTTCGAAGATAAAGTACAGAGTTTCACAATGATGGATTTATGAAGTTATATGGAAAATAGGAGACGATCATAAATAATAATGACTATTAAATACTTGATTAAAATTGATTTACAATAAAGATAATTTTTTGTATAAAAATATGCTGAAAAGCGCGAATACTTTCAAATATTACATATTTACTTATTATTGTTTAGCATTACTAAATACTCATTTTAGCTGCTGGATAAACTTAGAATGTGTTGTGTTTTTTGAATAAACATATAGTATATATATCTATCTGATTATCTTTGATTGCAGCATTTCTTCTATCGGTTGCTAACTCATGACTGTTAAGGTTCATATGTTAAGTTTGAAAAATACTCCTTTTCATTATAACAATCACTGCGATTTACCGCCATAAGCTCCAGTAGGAGCGATAGTTATACGCACATCTGTGTATTTGTCATCAT